CGTTGATCATTAATAGGTGCTTTGCATAGGAGATTACGACACACTCCGTTGATTGGGCTGAATTCCATAGGAAGTTGAATCCATCGACTAGAGATATATCGAAAAAGTCGAGGTTATTGGGTTGGTTAAGTGCAAATTCAGCTAAAGTATTGGGTGGACTACCAAAACCTTGACATTTTAACCGCCCATTACAATCTCTAGTCTGGCATTTGCCTCGACCATTACCATCAAAGTTACAATTGGTTCTACTCCAAATGCGACCCATGGTTGTTCCTGGATTCACATTAATGTTCCAAGTTTGGCCCGAGTCAAGTCGTCTGCCTCTCCCAGGAGAGGCAGCGGCCTAGACCGTGTAGGTGCACCGATTGACTTGAGGAAATGCATATTACTTTTCGATTTGAGAATGTGTTTATTTGAAGACACTTTCAAATGGGTTATTCATTTAGTCTAGTGTAATGAGTTTCATAGAAATTCTCTTGTGGAAATTAGTGGCTTTTAGTATGTGAATTATTTGAAAATTTCATTACTGCTATTCACGTTATTTATTCCTTTCATTCAATAATAGTTATCCACTATACTATTTTAAAATGTTTCTAACAATGAGAGTAGTAATTTATATTTAATCTTCAATTAATTAAAATATTAAATCTCTGTTATTGTTCGTGTCATATACGCAACCTATTTGTTGGTTCTTCTCTTCAAAAATCTTGCCTCTTGACTTGTAAGCCCCCTTTACTAAGGGAGTTCATCCGAAACTCTTTCGGTGAAAAATTATATTATTTATATATGCTTAAAATATTTTTATATGTGTATATAGTAAATGTTGAATCTCCTTCGACTACTTCATATGTCTATTTCTACAGATTTTGAATCCGCTTATTGAAAAATTATGATTCCGTCTCTGCTGATAAGTCAAGCCATCACTATAATTGAACTTTTATAGGCTTGGTAATTTGAAAAACATTTATAATGGACGTGACCATAAATTTAAGAAGAATCATATATTACTAAAAGCATGAACAAAAAAGTTGAAAGTTGAATTACGGTTTTACCCCTTCTATAAATTAAATTGTTATAAAATATTTCAATATTTGATTGTATAAATTTAGTTAAATGTTAATGACTTTTAGACTTCCTAAGATTAATTCCTAATTAAATATCTAATTTATTGATATTATATTGAAATATTTTATAACAATTTAATTTATAGAAGGGGTAAAACCGTAATTCAACTTTCAACTTTTTTGTTCATGCTTTTAGTAATATATGATAATCTATATGTATATAATAATTATTTTTTTTAAAAAATCTTTACCTAAATTTCTTTACTTTTCCTCTTTTTATAACTTTTTTCTTAACCACTCTCATGAATAATATAATTGATGTGGATAAAGTATTATCCTTTATGATAAATAATGAAATTTAATAATTTAAAGGGTGCAAATCTACAAAATGGAGACACACATTGATAATGTCCTCTTGATTATTATTAAAGAATGACTCTAGCTTCACAAATTTAAATTCATTGATGCTTAATTACATGATAAGAACTTTAGTTGTTCTTTCTATATGATTTGCTAACTTTAATTTTTTTCATATTCTTCGTCTATTTATTATTATTTTGTAATTACTTATTCAACTTTTATACTCTTAATATTCATAACTCTCATCTTTTCATATTCATAACCTCCAAATATTTAAACTAAAACTTTAAGATATCTTTTGATATTCCTTCAATTCTATTTATATAAATTCAACTTCTTTATCTCATGAAATCCCTACCAAGATTATTAGGCTATTATTTTTATTCTATAGTAAAAGTAGATGATGAAGACTCTTGAGTTTTGATAGGATATGAAAGGAATCAATAAGAACTCAAAGAGTTATGTACTAATTTTGTACTTATTTTTTCAATCTAATAAGAATAATGTCTATATTGTATATTTTCTTAAATATTCTATTTCTTTTTGTCTTTTTTTTCTCTCTGTTAGACTTCTTAATTTAGTTTTCTATGAATGTTTCATTGCCGTAAGTCTTTATTCTTATTTTGTAATTGTTACATTTTATTATTCATTACAATTTACATATACATTTCCATAAAATTTTAGTCATTCGTATCTATACAAATTCACATGAAACATACGCTCGAAGCACGTGCTCAGAAACTAGTATATAAATAGGAACGAAGAAAGTAAAGTTTAAGTCAATAAATGGTGCTTAACTTGTAATGGCGAGGAGATTAAAAAGAGAGAGGGAGACTTCTGACTTTATGTACCATAGACTTAAATATGTTATTGAATATTGAGAAAAAATTTATTTATGTCATTCGTTTTAAGTTTTGACTTATTTATATCATTTTTCTTTGAGAAAAACTCATTCATGTCATTATTTGTTAACTAAAAAAGTTTCAATTTGACAAAATTATTTTTTAAACGTGATCAATTATGAATCGGCTGCATTATTGATCAAGTCATTTTTTAAAAGGAAAAAACTCAAATATGTTAGTTGAACTTTAAGAAAAACTCATCTTTGTCAATCGTTTAAGTTTTGACTCATCTTTGTTATTTCAGTTAATAAATAATGACATGAATAAACCTTTTCTCAAACTGAATGACTTTAATGAACCAAATTTTTAACACATGACATAAATAATTTTTTTCCCACAAAATATGATGTCATATTTGAGTCTTTTTCACTTTTAAATATAGATTTTCATGACTTTTACTTGTCGTTTTTAACATATCAAAAAAAAATACTCTCATTTTATTTGTCACCAAGATATTACTTCCGTTGGAAAAAGATACTGATCACTGAATTGTTTGCTTAAAAAATCATGAATATGTAAACAAGGTAAATTAGGTTTGATCAAACAAACTTGTTCTTTTTTTCTTTTGGCTAAGTAAAGAAAACAAGAACAAATAGGCTGAATAATTAACTAACCAAAGAATAAGAAAATTTGAGTACTAAAATGTAAAAATTAGAGCAACATAAATAAGATGTTCATATTCTCATAGCTCAATCAAGGAATTGTGTATTACAAGTGAGAAATAAGATGCCCTATAACAATATTGATTTACTAATTGCATAGAAATTTCAAATATAAAGAAACAACAATTAAAGAATATATTTTTAATTTATGGACAAAATACGACTTTATAGCTAGTTCCATTAGGACAAGTAAATGTACTACTTGAATCATCTCTAGGATAACTATAAGAAGTTAAACATCTATCCTTAAAAAACCTCGAATAGTTGGTCGGACCACAATTTCCAGACGTGCAACAATAAACATTCATCTTGAAAACAGTACAAGGGTTGTTGCATCCTCCAGGTGTCCTTAATTCATTCGGACATTGTCCTATGATGTCCGCGGTGCATCTGATCCTGACAGAACACTCGTCCGCGGACACAGGACTAAATTCCATTGGGATGTTGAAACCATCAACAACAGATATATCCAAGAAATCATTATTGTTGAATTGGTTTAAAGCGTATTCAGCTAAAGTTGTTGGGGGTTTACCATTACCTTCACATTCGAGTAGTCCATTGCAATCCCCCGTTTGACATTGACCCTTGCCTGATGAGTCAAAATTACAATTGGTTCGGCCCCAAATACGACCGTTATTAGTTGTGTTTACCTCGATTTTCCATGTTTCACCGTACTCTAGTTGTCGTCCTCCACGGCTGTGGGGGACGGCTGCTGCCCATACCGTGAAGGGACAATTGTTATGTATGTCGATTGTTGAGTCTGCTTGTATTGAGAAGAGATGAGAAATCATAACATAGAAAAATATGAAGAAGAAATTGATGATACGATTACTCATATTTGATTTGAGAATTAATTAATGTGATGATAACAATGAACAAGAAAGATTGAATTTGTAAATAAGGCTAAAGAAAAGAACGACTTGTCAATATAGTTTACTCATTAGTCAATAAATGGGGCTTTAACTTGTAAAAGAGAGGAAGACTTTGACTTAGGAAAAAGTTATGAAGAATCGTATAGAAAATAGAGGTAGTATATATTGTGTATTTTAATTTGATATTTACTGATATTTGTAATTTTTAATTTTGGATTTGAACAAGTAAACACTTGAATTTGTATAGAGTTGAACAAGTAGATACGTGTGTTTTATATGATGTTTTATAAGACAATGGATGTGAGATACGCTAGAACGGATTTATTTACCATGTATGTAAGATATTATTGTGTCTATTTGTGCACACCAAAAAATTGAAGTCATGTAGAAGAGTTTGCTTATAGTTATTCAAGTACAAATACCTTCGACCCCTTTCTAAATTACTTTTTTAAAAAACATTTTAATTTTTTTTTCTAATCTTACCTTTTCTTATTATTTTCCCAAGATAAATTTAAACGGAGCTAATTTTCAAGGCTTTGACATATTCGGACTCATACTTTGTGAAATGGTTCATGCATGTTTGTTGCCAAGAGCAGCAAGATCAAGTTGGTAAGAATTAACGCTTAATATTTATTTCTATGATCGATGATCATAGAAACCCCTTTACCATTCTGTATAAATGGTTTATTTTATTTGTATAGATAGAACAGAGGAACACATTTAATATTTGTTTATCTATTAGCTTTCAATTCTTATCTTTAGCGCGGGGTAGACCAATTTCCTATCTCACAAGGCTCGTAGTGTATTATGCATATTTATACCCTCCGTCCACTTTATTTAGATGTCCATTATGAACTTTTTCATATTGAAAAATTAAGTCAATATTAAACAAGTAAAAATGAACAAATACCAATAATATAGTGCATCGAATGATTGATTTTCCCCGACGATCATAACATACCTTATCTTTCTTTCTCTCTATTTTTATTTGTTCAGTATTAATCACGCACACATAAAATGCTTAACTATTAACCATATAGGCTTAATTTCAAAAATACAAATATTTTCCGTTAAAACAACAAAATAAACAAGTATATTTAGCGCCATTCCATTTTTTCCTAGTCCACCCATTTAACTACTAAAGTATCTCAATTTTTTTAAAAAAATAAATGTAGCTATTGGCTTCTACTCCACACAAAATCAAAATGCAGATTCATCATACTCAAACCCTAATTTCTTCCCCTAAACCCTTCAATTTAATTCCCTTTTCAGTTAACAAAACCCCCAAATTGAATGGTAATTTTATATTAATGGATTGTTCAAGTTTCAGTTTTTTAAAACTGCAATTTTCTATGGTTTTCCATATTAACTGTTAATTTTCTCTGCAGTTGCAGGTTTGGGTAGTCGTGTTTTGAAGGCAAATCGCGGTTTGCGAAGTAAGAATCGCAATGTGATATGCTCAGCTGCTGATCGATGGAGTTTTGATGATGATACGAAACGGAAAAGGTTGGTGTACTTATACTCTTTTTAAAGTTTATATTGATGCTGAATTTTGAATTGGATTCGGTAAGCGTTTGATGATTTAGGAATGTAGTTTTATTGTTTGAGTATTTTAATATATGACTTCAGTAGTTTAAATTTTACTTAATCAAGGATAAGTTGTGGTGCTAATGTAAAATAAAATGTTAAAGGGGAAAAGGATCCTCAGTATCATCCTACATTTAATTCGATAGAATACAAGTACCATGTGGCCTAGTCGTCAATGAAGTGGGTTGAGAACATGAGGTATCGTGTTCAAATCCCAGCATAAACAAAAAATCTACCAAGTGATGTGATTTCTTCTCATTTGTTCTAGCATCGGTGGACAGAGTTACTTGGTGTCTGTTACTAGTGGGAAGTGGCAGGTATCCTGTGGATTTAGTTGAGTGCGCGAAAGCTGGCCCCAACACCATGGTTAATAAAAATAAAAATTGATAAAAGTGGAAAGGTTCTACCTTTCTCTTTTGTCTTGCAGCATGCACTGTTTTATACTTATCTTGAATCTTTAGATCTTAATGAGTCTGCATTAGTTATCTTTAGCTTGAAAATTCTAGATTGTGATATTACTCTCCACATATCTAGTTTATAATTTGCTTTCCTTTGCTTTTTTGTTCATATTTGGCATGGGGATGAACATTTAAGAACGATTGCAGTGAAAGATGAGGATAATTAAAAGGGAAGCACGGATACGATGTATCCTGTGTTCACATAGTGTCCGAAGAAGGGTTACACCCCAAGGAGTTGTAATGTAGGCAACCAAACCAGACACAAGCATTAGCAACTAATTCCACAAATCGAACCTGTTATCTATATTTCATGAAGATTACTTTACATTGCTCCTATGCTCCCCTTCCAAAGATAAGGATAATTATAAGAGAATTTTCATGAGAGAGGAACTTCCTGCATTATCTCAATTTTGAATGTAGTTGATATCTTGTTATCGTTTCTTTTTTGTATTATGTTTTCTTAAGTTGTTCTTGAAGAAACAACTTGCTTTGTTGCTTGCAGAAAAGTAGTTGAACACGTGAGTCTGATCAAAGGGAAGGAGGACTTATCTGTAGAACAAGAGAAAGATATGCTGGACTACCTTTATACAACCCAATATCAAATGGGTGGCATTGTTTCCATCTCATTAGGTCAAAGTTACTTCTTGTTTGACTTGTACATTGATATAATAAGGAGCTGTGAGTTTTCGCTTTAATTGTGCTCAATGAAATATTACTCGAGTTCTTTAATTTGTTGTACTTATGTCTGGTGACCACAATATGAGATCTATCAACAATTTAGTCAAGTCCTAGGCTGAAAAACGAGAAGTCCAAAATTTTTTCTTAAGGAAAATATTAAAATTTCTCCAAAGTCGAGTTGCAAAGTGAAGAAAGAGATCTGCATGTACTATGTAGGAAAATAAAATATCCACTTTATTCAGAGCAAATACAGAAGTACTGCATATTTTCTTGGAGACATTCTTTATGTTATTTGACTTCAATTGTTTGGGTCAAATCCCTATGCTTCTCATCCTGAACAATCTATAAAGCTTGTTTTATTCACAGAGAAGCTTCACTTCAGTCTTCGTTTAAAGTTTGTTTTGCATGAAGTCGGGAAATGATGCCGTTTGTGGTGTCTATATTGTAAATGTTTGTTTTATATTTTGTTTCCTGCTGTAGGACGTGTCGCTGGTGGGAATGATGATAAGTATAGCCATGGTATCTACATGCGCTTTCAAACAAAGGAGGATCTAATGAAGTTTTATGAGAATCAATTCTATGTCGGTGTCCTTAGGGACCATGTTGTGCCTTACTGCCATGTATGCCCCAACATGTAAAGAACAAAATCCTCTGTGCCATTTGATTTGTATACTTTAGTTGCATTGCAGATGAAATCCATATCCTGAAACTTTTTAAGTTTACACGTTGACAGGAGATTATCAATACCGACTTTGAGTCCGAAGTAGAAGATGACATGCTGTCAATATTTCGAAAAGGAGAGGTTGAAACATATCCATTTATTTGAATCTCACTGGATGTTTGAACTTTTTAACTAAAGTTGTTATTCCTTTTGGCCATCCAATTGACTTATGTTCTAATATACTTAATGCGGAATAGGTTAATCACCAGACTTCTTGTGAAAATAGGTTAATTATTGATTCCCAACAGCAAGGCTTACCCTCATACCTATAGTTTTTCACTCTTTAATGTCTACTATTTGGTGGTTTTCAAATTTAACAAGAGAGATTTCTCAAACAATCCTACCTATCTTTCTCTTGCCCGTCTTTCAGTAGTTTTAGTAATTTGCAGAAAGCATTACTGTGCGGGTAGGTTCTTGGTATCATGAGACATTTGATAGCCTTTGGGTGGCAGGAGTTCAACTATGGTGTGGAGCTTGTACTTCTCGTAGAATTTGGTAAGAGTTCTTTGGATGGTCCTGCCGAAGATGCTTTGCTCGCTCTGTCAAAGCTGACAATGGATTTCCCATCCTTGATCGTTCAGGCTACTATCGGTATTCATGGAATATTTTACTGATGACATTCTTATCTGTAGATTTTCCCCAATTGACATGCTTTATTTTCTTGTTTAGTTAGAACTTAGAAGCCATATGGAAGCATATTTTTTAAATTTAAGATGGAGATCAGATACACTTCATAACCTAATGGAAATTTTATTAATCCGTTTACATTTCATTATTCTGTCACTGATCAGATCAGCATTTCCTGTCCACACACTTGTTTCCCTGGTTCTATTTTCTGCCAGTTCCCTAGCACCTCATAGAAACATTACTTCACGTTTTCAGGTTCAAATTTTAACATTTCCAGTGCGGAATATACTCATGGTGTAGTAATACGGTTTCGGTCTAGTGAGCTCTCATCTTTTTCCTTTTAACTTGCAATTTGAAATGTTTCCAACATCTAACTGTATATTTATTAATCAGCGGAGGCCTTCCAGATGTTCATGAACAGTTCTGAATATAATAATGTAAGTGCGCTCAATCAATGGCAGGTTTTCCACTCTTGGAATCACTAGCATATTACATTATTTGTCAGTTTCCACAAAAGATATTCCAACGAAATCACTCTCTAACTTAGTTGTTCTTTAGCAGATAAGTTGAGATTATCTTTTAGAGGTTTAACATACATGGTTCTGATGTTTATATTATTTTTAATGCCTCTTAAATGTTTAGGTTATAAGATAGATTAAGTTTGAAAATCACACTTCCTATAACATGGCTAGATTTACTATTATGATAAACATGCCGAGATCATTGGTTTAATTATTTGAAGTTTAAGGAAGCTAGAAGTAGCTTTGGCCTAAATTTCATGACTTGATGATGATGAATCTAGTTGCCAAAATCTGAACGCTTTGTTTATTGAAAACAGATGTGGAGATCTAAGTTTCAGCCAAATGTCCAAAAACATCTTTCTGTTCATTTTTCGATTGATCCAGTGGGCACAGAGCTTATGTAGCAAAACTTTCGCCCAATTGCTGGTTCACTTGAGCTCCTTTGACCTGAGTTACATATAAAGCATTTAAACATCTTATTTTTTTATCTTGACCAACCACGGTGATTTTGAGAAGCTTCTTCCGGAGAATCAGCAGGTTAGCTTCTAAATCAGTACATTATTTAAATTGTATTATTTTCAGCTTTGCCTCATCAACTACATTATTTAGTGATTATGTAGTATCTTTTTATGACTTCTGCATCAATTTCTGCTTTAACTTAACAGGAATTAGTAAATACACTGTAATACAACATTTTCAGACATACATGCTATGTATAAGGTAGTATGTTAATTCAATGTGTGTGTGTAATCTTGTGGTCGTTAGGCTCTCGTTACTTACTTGAAGATCTCGTGGGAAAGCAAAATGAGTTTACTTATTCAGACATTCTACTAAAGATACTTTCCAGAATGTTGGAAATAAGCCTCGTTGAAAACCCATCTTTTTAGTTTTTATCCAGGAGCAAACTAGCAAAACCATGTAGCTGGCTTTTAATTTTGAGGATCGAAGAAGATATTTTTTCAGATCCGCTAAATAATTTTGCATCTTGTGTTTCTCATGGCAGACATAACTCTCACAGGATAGGGAAAAAGTTAAATCTTTCGATTGCCTCATATCAAGATAGTCATCAGGAATTCACCTCGAAATACTTCAAAATGAAATGTTGGACTGCTTGGAGAACTTAATAATAGAATCTTCCTATGTGGATGTACAAATTACTATAGACTACAGTACTCACTTGTTTCTTTATTCTAATTTGTATCATAATATATCCGATGGATCGAAAAGCTAACTGGCTTCTCCACCAGTAAGGCTATTCTTGCTTAAATATTTATTAACCCGTCTTAGAAAATGAGGAAGAAATATTTAGCTTACTGTATGCTTTTGAATCTAGCTAGTTGACTTCTTTGCATCAGCTGCAGCTTTTGTTTTGAATGGACATACTTTAATCGAAGCTTCATTCAATCGGTCCGTCTTACTTACCCTTTTAGTCTCTTTAAAAAGGGATGTCTCTTTTTTTTCTTGGCAAACACATGACATATTTAAGACCACGAGATTAAAGTGCATTTTGATATATTCTGCCTATCTTTAGTTTAAGAGCACAAGACTCAAAAATCTTATTTATTGTCTTAAACTCTGTGCTGCCAAAAAATTTATCTTTTGGCATGTTTCTCTCTTTTCATTATCTTTAGCCTTGTATTATTATCTTAAAGTTGTGTAAGTTACAAAAGATATATATTTTTGAAGATCACATGATAACTGGATCAAGATCCCCTGCCAGAAAGGAGCAACTGCTGCAGACTGCAGTGTATAACTGAGAAGAAAGTACAAAGGCAACTTTGTACATTTAGTTAATGAATACATAAAAAACTTCAAAAAAAAACAAAAGGCAAAAGCAAGAAGAAGAAAAAACTTCCCTCTATACAGTATTTCTTGGAACAATATGACATAACTGCAAAACCTGTTATTTTGTAGAGACACTAAGATGAGAGTGAAGAATACAATGAAATCAATTCAATTGTGTAAAGGGTTTGGTCCTCCCGGAACGGCGTGATTTGAAACTCTGTAGCTTTGTTCAATATCTTCATTTCTTGATGTTTTAGGATCTGATGCAGAGAGATGCCATGAGTACCTGGAATCTAAGTCTTTGTATGTTTGTTTTGTTCTTGTAGTGGTCATTTTTTGGATGTTATGGCAACTTGAGAATTGGCTCATAATGAGTATCACCATGATTAGTAGTAAAAATGGAAGAGAAGGATACTGAGCTTTCATGAGTATAATGATGATTGGAAGTAGAAGAAGATTTAGAAGAAAAAAAAAGTGAGATTATTCAATTGTGTAGACTGATGAGTTGTCTTATTAATATGCATTGAAAAACATATGGTGTAGACAAGAGTTGAATTAAAAAAACACACTAGCTAATCTTGGCTTGTATAAAATGACATTTGTACCCTCAAAAGAGTTTCATTGTTCATGGTCAACAAGTTAATGCACCTTTTTTTTTAATTTCATTTCCAGTGTTACCAACATTGAAGCCCGACTAAATCTGAATTCATGCCGGGAAGTTTCACATTTGCTTCCTAAAGGCGACTATGTACCTAGGGATCATTCATTCAAGCCTGGGTCTCTTAACGTCTTCTTTTTTCTTCTCATCTGAGTTACTTCACCAAACTTGTCAGGAACTCTGGTTAAGGATGAAAAATTAAACAGTACATCTTGTTCTATAAATGCGGAAAAGAGGGTTCAATTTACGATATGGTGCAATGCAAGTAGTATTAGGGTCTTCGAGTTGGAATTTCCGATTATGAACAGGTCTAACAAATTATTATTATTGATGAATTCAATAGATATTCTATCTCAATTATATATGCCAGCACACTATTAGCCTATTAGGAGAGTCAATAATACTATCTGTAACTGCGATTTTCACATATTTTCTTTAATTCAATTCATCATAATTCTTTTTGTCTAATCTTGAAGAAAGAAAAAAAAAAGGAAGTTTATTAATATGAATTCTATCTATTCGTAAGGATGACTGAGTTGATACAATGGATTGCTCAATGTATATCCAAAGAATAGCAACTCCGAATATCCGATGGTTCCCAAAAAAAAAGAAATTGTCTAAAGAAAGAGGATATGAAATGAATTTTCATTTTTTTGTGGGATATTGCATGTTTGAGAAGACATAACATCCATATGAAAACAACATTTCATTTTCAATTTTTGTTACTTCTGTAACATGACATCATCTTTGAGCCCATTGGAGCCCTTCTTCATAGTCAAATTATCAGCAGGGCCCACTTAAATAAACTCAGAACAGTAAAAGGTTTGGTTCTTTTCGAGCAAAACGAATTCGAAATTTAAAGTTTATAAATTCTTATAGCAACTTTAAGTTAACAATGTACTGAATAAACAAATTCCGCACTCAAATATTTACATTTCATTTTTCAAGAAGATTTAACACATTAGTTCCATTAGGCGCTAATCAGCGGAACTAATGTTTTTTCCTGACGCCAAATCAATGCACGTTCAGTTCACCAGAACTGTGGATGCTACTACTGTCCTCTAACATCATATAATCTCTTTAAACGTAAGATCAAAAATTCCGAGCTACTTACGTATTCGGATGCCAGGAATATCTTTCAATCCCATCTTTAGAGCTGTTCTACGGAACAGTGAAGGAGGCTTGTCCAAACCAATAGACTCGCTAAACTGGTTAGCTAACTCGACAAGTGTTGTCTTGTCTCTGCCTACTTCCCTTACCGAGTTGTAATAACCAAGCCAAGCGTGATAAGCTGATTCTTTGACACTAGTATCCATCTTTTCCATTGCTTCTTCCATCTGCAATTATCATATCATCAAAAATCTAATTGCTAAAAACGATTTCCAGAAGTGAATGAAACAGTTAGTTTTCCAGTGGGTGTGGGGGCGGGCTACAGGGTGACATCCTTGTTCAGTTTGTTTGTGATGACAGGTGGAAGTGTTTAAGAAACTCGGAAAATAATTCATTTACAATACCGAATTCAGGTTGCCTGGCACAAGAAATAAAATCAAGGGACTTTTCAAAAATCCCGGTCATTTAAAAACAAAAAAATTACCTCGTAGAAGTTTAGCATAGCAATCAGAGATCTTATTATAATCCTTTAACTAGTGAATTTCCTTTAATTTCCTAAAGTGAATGGGGGGAGCATTTTGTGTTCTATGGCCTATCAGTGCATAGAAACAAGAATGAGTGTGTACAAAGCAGCTAACCTTGACTTTAACACGAGGATCAAGACGTGGAACTGGCCAGTTTTCCATGGGGAGGTCTTTTATGTCATCCAAGAAATATTGTTCCCAAGGTGCAAGCAACAGGATACCTTCTCCTTCTTTGCCTTCTCGCCCAGTTCTTCCAAGCCGGTGTATATACTGCTCTCGATCAACAGGAAGACCAACCTGATAAACAGAGACATCCCCAAGTAAGGGAAAGAGGAAGGAGAAGGAAACAGCCCCACAATTAAAAGAAAACAAACTGAGTTTCCACATAATGCACACTCCTTGATTATCGACCACCAAATTGATCATCAGTTCACAAATAGGAGAAAACACTTTAGATGAGAAGTGATGTGAATAAGTGACACTAATAATTTGAAGGATGGCAAAGTTGGAGAGGAAAGAGGCTAAATAACTTGAGCCTTCGGATTATTCTTTGGTTGACTACTTCAGGTTTGTGAAAGAAGTTTTAATAAAGAACATCCTTCAACAAATTGGAGAAGTACTTTAATTGACTGTTCATTTTTTCCAAGGTCAATTTAGGAAGATATTGAACCCAAAATTATTTAACCACTCCAAGAACAAGAAGTTTTAGCATTTAAAAGGAAACAGACTATTCAAAAGAAAAGAGTAAAAAGTAATGTTTATATTTCTAGAAACATCAATGCTCATTATAAGCTCTCTAAATTGCCATATACCTGAATAACAAGTGTAACATCAGGATAATTCATCCCCCGAGCTGACACATCAGAGGTTATAAGAATTACACGTTTCGTTTCCTTGAATTCATCAGAGATTCGAGTACGATAAAGTTGAGGTTTTCTGGAATGGATCTCTCTCACATTCATTTTCATCTCATGGAAAAGGGAAAACATGAGGGATGTCATCATAGCTGTTGTACAAAAAACAATGACCTGTATGACATTTAAAGTTGCAAGAAAATAAAAAAAAATAGATATGAGAAAATGAACATCACAACCAAAAAAGCAGATGGTATTACGAAAAGCTTCAAAAGTACAAATAAATTCTAACATTAAGAACTAGTTACCTTGTAATCAGGCACTTCTGAGATATGGCTTGACAAAAGATGGTGCACAACTTGAAAGTGTTGTTCATGCGGTGCAACTAGATAAAATTGCTTAACCTGCTTATGAGCCCATGTATTTAGGATAGATATTACTGAACTCAAAAAAAAAAACATATTGCATAGAAAGAAATTACACTGAATCCAAAAAAAAAAAACTAAATTTCTGTAAAGAAGCAGGAACTATTCCGTATCTTTAAGCAAAAACCATAATCAGCGGATACCTTTGGATTTGTTTCCAGTCCAAGGCCCACTGTATCAACATAGTCATATTCTCTTTTCAGAACAAGTTGAGATATGCGACGAACCTGCATTTTCAAACATTTTTTTCAACCAGCAGGAATTTTACAAGTTCCAACACACCAGAAAGACCTAAGCTCTTGGATTACATAACATCAGTCAAATTCTTTTATTATAATGGTGTTGCACCAGATTGCACACTTCAACTATCTAGTGGACAGCCTGCTATAGCCCACGGTGAACATTTTACAATATTAACAAGAGGAAATAAGGAAAACTAACCTCCTTTGGGACAGTAGCTGAAAAGAGTAGGGACTGCCTTCGTCGAGGCAAGCAATCAACAAGTTTCTCTATGTCTTTCCGGAACCCAAGGTCCAGTAAGTGGTCAGCTTCATCAAGTATTAACATCTTCAATCCCATTATTCGTGTAGAGAAGCCAGACTTGTTCTCAATGTGATCTAATAATCTACCAGGTGTTGCAACTATAATCTACAGAAATAGCAAAAGCAACAGCCAATTTAGATGCAGCTAAATACACAATAAAAGACAGAATCATGCACAAACTCTTTGAGAGGTCAGCTCAATGATAGAGAAAAGAAACATTCACAAAGCTTTAGCAGCTTTGAACCTGAAATATAAATATTACTGCATGAAAGATAAATTTTGATCTGGTAGTAAGATTCTCGCTTAGGTTGAAATATGTTAAGTTCAATTCTCAGGATTGCCCCTTTGATTATCTAGCCCCAGTGTCGCATGGAGGAAAATTGTTTTAATGTGAATTTGGTACAACAGAATTGCAGATGAGAAACAAAAGCTTCATAAATGTGATACCAACTACTGAGATTTATACATGGTTGTGTTCTTACATTTACATTAAATCTGGTGATGATTTGTCTATATTATGACCAAGAATAATAGATTGATTGGGTATTTGATCTGTTTCTAAGTTTATGTTTCACACACACGCACACGCGCCTACACACACACACACTTTTATATATACATGCAAAGTATAAGAATGCTTTATTATTACACGAGATATCTTATACAACAACATATCCAATATAGACACACAAAGTAAGGACCGAGGAGGATAGAGTGTATGCACACATTACCTCTACCTCACGATAGAGAGGTTGTTTCTGATAGACCTTCGGCTCAAGAGAAACAATCCACAACAATACCAAAATAAAAAGTAACGGGAGTACAAGAAGCAATAGATAGTAACAGAACAGAAACTAAAACAAAACAATACACTATCGGAGTACAAGAAACAACATACAATAACAAAAATCGAAAGAAAAGATACTACAAGAGCAATACTAAAACAAATTATAAACTGACAGCAAGACAGCACACGACTACCTACCAACCTTCTATCGTAATTTGTGTCCTCCACACCCTCCTATCTAAGGTCATGTCCTCGATAAGCTGAAATTGCTCCATGTCCTATCTAATCACCTCTATCCAATACTTCTTCGATCTACCTCTTTGATCTACCTCTCCATGTCTTGAATCATTCATAGCCTACCTCTCACACATCTGCACTGGGGTATCCATGCATCTTCTCTTCACACAAGATATCTTATGAATAAAATAGAGTGTTGATGAGTTCAATACTTTCATTTAATATATATTTATATATGTCATAATATACATTTATTGGCCGTATCAGCAATTGGGTCCTAACACTAGTACTAACAGCTTGACAATCCAGCTAGGGGTAGGACCATTATACTGTATTTTCTAGTCAAACGGCAGGTCCAGGCCAAGTTTGATAACACTGGTACTAAGATGCCGCCCATAGCTAGACTATCTAGTCTCAGTTTCTAAACCTCATAAGCAACTACAACTAATGAGTCGAGATAATAGATTTGCTATACTACACATCATTAAAATATTT